TGAAATAATCGGAATAAATGTGAATACTTAGATCTAATACCATCGCCCAAGAGACTCTTTCACGATGCCCTATGTAAAGCACGCGCATACCGACAAAACCAGTGTTCGTGTCCGCGTACTGCTTGATACAGTAGCCGGAATTTAATACGAGAACTCAAAAAGTACCCAAATGTTAAAATACGAATATTCAAAACGTTACAAAGTACTCAAAGTGTCAAATAAAGGTGCTCCAAATTGAAGAACTGCCAAAAACGGTCGTGTGTCTTGCAGCCAAAACAACCTACAGGACACGCTGTGTGTTATTAACAAGAGTGATAGTTTAGCAATTTTCCACTTTCTGTAGCTCAGACTGTAGTAATCCAAACTATCAAATATTTTCAGTGGGTGTGCTCTACTGGACTTCACATACCAAATTTCAAAGCAATCCATTAAGAAATGCACGAGATATAAAAACTCCAAATTTGACTGAATTTCTTTCTACTTTTTTTTCTTCGCACCGAAACTTTATATGATAGAAAAACATACTTAACCTTCGTGGAGTTTTTTATCTTTTTAATTCGTTACACTAACAGATCTTTACAACTTACAATTAGGTATCAAATTTGGTTCACATATAAAGCCACACGTGCAAAGTTATATAACAAAAACTGCACCATTTTGACCAAACTTTTTGTGCACGCCTACGCAAAAAGTCACGTGAGCTATCGGTTTGAGATTTTTAGTAAAAGTGGAACGATTTTAGTTTTTTGTTATTAGGATTAAAGACAGCTGATTTAGAGCAACAAAATTATAGGATGGAAGCACGTGCAGATACACAAGTATTGGTTAGGCCAAGCAAACTAGATTAGCAGTTTCCAGCTCAAGTTTTCGAAAGAATCATAAGGGTAGACGTCATTATTCATTGTTAGCTTTTAAGCAAAGATTTGCTACATTTTATGAAATGCTACTAATTAAATAGCGTTTGGTGGCACATTATATTAGCTTAAGTAATTAGCGTAAATAATGATGACTGATACGGCTATACCGAGTGCATGCGGGTGATGACAAGAAACTGTTAATCTAGATTCCATGGCGTTACTATAATGGAAGTTATTAACACTGTTTTAGACAAGAAAATTACCACCATATATTTTAAAGAATCTGGTTGGTTCTGTAAAATATGGGTCTATTCCGAATAATAAGATTGCGATCATAAAGCTAATGTTGGTTACTAACGAGTGTCATTTTCCTACTTGCTGTGGTTTGTTGGTGTTATTGACAAAAACTCATGATATCTAATCAAAAACACCTAAGGTGTGAAAACAAAACAAAAAACGTGCGGCCAAAAAAAGGATTGAACGTGACTTAAAGGAATGAAATCTAAATTGGCGGCCAAACTGGTAGCTACGCTTATAGGAATTATAAGAATTTTACAGCAAATATTCATTCATTGTTAGCCAGGCCGCGTATTTTATTTTACCCGCCATCATGCTCCAAGTCGAACAAAAAAAAACGTGGCCTGGCTGACTAATGAATGAATATTTGCTGTAAAATTCTTATCATTGCTATAAGTGTAGCTACCAGTTTGGCCGCCAATTTGGATTTAATTCCTTTAAGTCGCACGCTCAATTTATTTATTTTTGGTCGCACCTTTTTTTTCACACCTAAGGTGTTTTGGGTTAGATACAAGTACTCAAAACACCAAAAAAAGGTAAAGAAAATAACAAAGTTTATAATTTGCTCAAACTTACCATACATCTAACTATTACAAGAAAAATCCGGTCCCCAACAGACTGACTGTATGGCCCACCTTTTTGTTTATATTTCCCAACACCAATTTGTTCGAAGGAAAGACCAAGAAGATGTAAATATCCAACAGTAGACAGCCTTTTCTGGTCATTTTAGCTGCTAGTAATAGCACATCATTACATGTAATATTTGAAACAGGTCAGATACCGATTTAAGTGCAACAAAGCCACAATTATACATATTGTCAAGATTTTGTTCGCTATCTTTCATAAAAAGTTGTAAAAGTCGGCTTTTTCTAAACTTTTTTAATTTACTGTTTTAACGAACCACGAATTCAGCATGCCTGATGATAATATGACCTTATCGTGAGTCTAAATCTTGGATGGATAATTTTGATGCATACAAATAACGCTTATTTAAATATAATTTCATATCTTTAGCACTATTTCATTGTAAATGTGTTCGAGAATATAGAACACTTAGAATTCAGCCTAGACTATTCGTTTGGGAGGGGCTCGGCATGTCCAGGTGGTTAGGGCACTCGACTAGCAATCTGCGGGTCGCGGGTTCGAATCCAAACATGCTCGCCCTTTCAGCCGTGAAATGTTATAAGGTGACGGTCAATCCCACTATTCGTTGGTAAAAAAAGTAGAACAAGAGTTGGCGGTGGGTGGTGATGACTAGCTGCCTTCCCTCTAGTTTGATATTGGTAAATTAGGGACGGCTAGCACAGATAGCCCTCGTGTACCTTTGCGCGAAATTAAAAACAAAACAAAACCAAATCGTTTGGGAGAATGGAGTCGATTTTAGGTTATTCTACGAAATTATTACCATGTCATGATCTATAAAATCAAACTGAAAAGATGAACAAACCATAAAATATAATTTCAACTTCTAAAAGCAACGTTGCGTGCGCAAATGACGAAATGTCTGAAATTTAAAGAATTTCGGTTGCACCGACATTTTTCAAGCGAACAGTTCAAAATGGGCCCGGCATGGCCAAGTGATTAAGGCGCTCGACTCGTAATCTGAGGGTCGCGGGTTCGAATCCCCGTCACACGAAACATGCTCGCCCTTTCAGCCGTGGGAGCGTTATAATGTGACGGTCAATCCCATTATTCGTTGGTAAAACAGTAGCCCAAGCGTTGGCGGTGGGTGGTGATGACTAGCTGCCTTCCCTCTAGTCTTACACTGCTAAATTAGGGACGGCTAGCGCAGATAGCCCTCGTGTAGCTTTGCGCGAAATTCAAAACAAACAAACAGTTCAAGATCTAAAAGATATACAAGTTATGGAAGAATCACCTCAGAAACAACGAGCGTCACAACTTTCATCTAACAATTCACCTTGGTTTACTTGTGTTTATCTGCTTTCAAGAAACGTTCACTAGATTTAAGTTTAATCATGTTCAAAATTAAATGCTGGTATATCACTCCAAGATAAAATTCGTCACGTGGAAATCAAAACGTTTATGTGCGACAAAAAAAAAAAAAGATGACGACGAAATGCTTGTCACACTTAAAATCCATACAATTACACACTCATAACTTCGCATTTCCATTTCAAACAGCCCTGTCTAGTATTTGTTAGCCTACTACGTACGATCCATGAGCTCAACGTTCCGGAAACACACGATAAATGTGGTTAGTTGCGTGCTCGATGGACAAATTCCAAAAGATATATTGTCATATTTAGGAGAGCGAAATAATATGATCCGTTTAACAGCACGTATTTCTTAATGTCAGAGATTACTTATAAGCTTCTTGTATGCTTGGACACAGTATTCTTTATTTCTAGATTGACTTCGACTTTCAAGCTCCACTAAAATTCTTGTTCAGAAATTTAAAATAACGACGAAAGTAAACGGTAACAAAATGTCAACGTTCTAAAACGGGATTTATTCTTATATCTAAAGTGAATACAATAACAAAAAGTAACACGTTTCTATGTTAACGAATTAATTTGTTTGTTTGTGTGTATGTATGAAGTTAAGCACAAAGCTATACAACGTGTGCTCTGCCCACCACGGGTATCGAAACCCTGTTTCTAGCGTTGTAAGTCCGCAGACATACCGCTGTGCCACAGGGGGGGCTAACGAATTAATAAAGATAGTAGGTTTCTTCAGTATTTAAAACTACATAGTTATGCGAGGCATTTTTCTTATTAAAACCCATACGCTTATAAATTCCCTGAAACTATATGTAAGCTTGATATTCGTTAACATGTCTCATACTAAAATAATGTTGATAAGAAACGCCCAGTTTCTTCCTATCCATACATGTGTAAATATTTGTATTAGTTAGTGGTGTATGTTTAACTTCAGTGAGCTCGCGATTCAGTTAGCCAAACTATAGCACTTACTTGAAACGAATTTTACTTACGATAATATAAAAAATGTAGCTTTCAAATGAAAGTTTTCTCGAGTCTTTTTTTTTCTTAAGGAAATAGCTCGATTCATTTATGTCGACGAAATAAATGTTGTTTTTTTTTTATTATTTTGATTGGTACATAACGAATTCTAGATACGAATAAGATGGAGTTTATTCAACGGATTTCATCTTAATTTCATAAAGTCATGGACTATTACTTTTTAAATAATCCTGTTTCACTCGCACCTTTCAATATACCTAAATATATTGTACGTGGGCGAATGATAAACAGTCATAGTTTTATATCTATTGTTGTTGTTTTTTTTGTTTTTTTCTCGTTGCTTTTATGTAAATTCAAAATTATTATATAGTACGATGATGTGATTCACTGATTATTAAATTTCCATTAAACACTTTCGGTGAAATCTTTTCCAAGTTTCTTTCTGTATATTACTTAACCGTTATTTAATATTATATACTACATTCAAAATCACTCAACTCTTCAATGCTATCGCTTCAAGTAGCTTTTTTTTCGAAATACTTTTCTTAAAATTTAAATTGATTTTTGTGTAACACTTAGTACATACATATTTCACTTTTCAGGCCTAGTAAACAGGAAAGTGTTATGAACTTGTTAAAATTTAGATCGTTTACGATATGAAAAATCTCATATATAATACATTTATTCCAAATTAAAACTTATTTTGTCATTTCATGATATGCAACGAGTTGTCTTATACTTGAATTGGGTCTAAATCTACAAATACACATTTAATTCAAAGGCATGAAAAAAAAAGAAAAAAGTTTAGACTTCTAAATACCGCCACAAGATGGCGTCAGGCATAAGCGAAGACTTATTGGAATTCGACCTCGATGAAACTTAATAGAATATAGAACACACTGACCTGTTTTTTCTTTGATTTCGCATAAAACACTGAAAAGAGCTGGTTTCATTCTATGGCAATTCAACGTATGTTTTCTGTAAAAAAAAACAACGAAACACGATATTAACTATCGCACACACATTTCATAGGTTTACGACAAAGTAGCGTGATACTAGGCCTAAATTTAAACATCAAGCGGACAAAAGCGTGCAAACGTTCGGGTAACGTACTACTCGTAACGGAAAAAGCCTTCGAACGTACCTCGCTTGAGCTTCGTCGAGACTCTGATCTGTGATGTTCATGATTTGTTGGAGTATTTCCGATATATCATGTTTACGGACTTCTTGATCTGCCGTGTGCGGTTGATTCGAAGAATCCATACCATAAGTATGTTGAGGTATTACATTACCTCCCATACCAACCGTGGGATTCTGTGAAACTGGGTGCATCATTGTTTGGTGATCGTCCATGCTTCAACACCACCCTCGCCAAACAGATACAACGGCGTGGTTGTCCGTATAGCGAAGGTCATACACTGTCTCCAACGTAAATGTTTTATCACAGCACAGGCGCACAATTATCCATAAAATACGAGTTTAACTCTCATTACAGTAAACCATCTACAGTTGAGTGTTTTGTTTGGAATACTTTTTTTTTGTCAGCGAGCGACAGTCTTTAAGGTGGGTTGAACAATAATGCCAGTCAAGACTCTTCACCATAAAAGATAAGCGTCTGATGTGACGAAAATAACGTCACCTCTCAATTCTGACCAATCAGCATCAAACACTGGAGTTACATTTCAGCTGCAGATGGTTGTCAATCATTTTGTAAGGGGTGAGAAACCTTCTGAAGTAACTCCGCCCATACAGTGATTAATGACTAAAGAATGTTTCTCCCATACAAGTATTATTTACAGATTAAACAGTGACTAATTAAAGTGGCTTATGATAATATTGGTAGAGGGTGAGTGGGGGTATATTGACACTTAATAGTAAACACCTTTTTCAGAGTTTGTTATTTAAAGTAAGAAACAAGTATGATTTAAAATATCTTGCAACAGGTTCCTATTTGTATATATATATATATCTTATAATATTACCAATTTCATTAAAAGTCAGTGTCAATGAGATTAATTACAATCATATTTTTCTATATAAAAGCATGTTTACAGCTTATTGTCATACATTATTTTACTATATTTTAATGACACATAAATGTTTGAGTTTCAAAGAATTTGTTTTTGTTTTTTTCAGAAAGTGATTAAACTGGTTATATGTTAACTGCTTAAAGCAACAAATTTATAGAGTTGTTTTCTATAGGGCTTAACTGAAATGAAGTTAATAAAAACTTTACGTTTTAGAGAAAAAGTGCCATCTGTCGGAAGGGATGTGTGTGTGTGTTGTGGTTACCATGGGACAAAATACAAATAAGACTCTTGAATTCGTAAGCCTAACGGTTTTTGAAACTTTTTTGTTTTCTTATTCATGAATATGTTGAAAGTAATTTAAGTAATCGTGCAGTTATTGTTTTGTTCATGATATACAGTAAAAGGTTACTTTCATCTAGTTTTTTATATTATTTATAAAACCTTAAGTTATAGCGCGAACTTAGTCCTAGCGTAGTAGTACTATTAGCGATAAGGTACCTAAACCGTAACTTACTAAACCAGAAATTTTTTATGTTATTAGTAGTACTTGTAAAATTTTGTAATTTAATTATTCAGTTATTATACGCAAGTCATAAAAATGTGAATTATTCATAAGATTTAACTATTTGATTGTCAAAGTTGTCGATTTCATGTTACTTCGTTGCTATAAATACTAATACTGAAGTACTTCGACTCGAGTAGCACGAAAATAAATTTTTTATAAATTTTTATGAATCGAGTTTTTGTTTTTCGTGAAATCTGCGTTTTTTAAATAAAGGTAGTTTGCGACGAGTGTTACCGTTATTTTGTTGCAGAATAGATTTGGTTAAACAGACTTTCAGTTGCATGCTTAAAAATAATTAAAATATTTATGGTTGTGCCCGAAAAAAATAAAGTCAGTCAACAAAATTATTAAGAGACAAACTGATACAGTGCTAAAATCCTAGAAACCTTCATTACATGATCATTTCTTTGGCCAAATGTAAACAACAGCTGTAAATGATTGTCTTTCAATGTAATTAATTGATTCTACAAGAAGAATGAAAGCTTCAATCTTCACAGTTATGAAATTCTGCAGAAAGAAAGTAAGTGTGAACTGTTTAAATAATACTATTTTTCAAAGGAACTGAATGTGTGTTTTAGCAGACACGTTTTTTGACTGCATTATGTTTAGGACGTTGAACTTATTTGGCTGTTAACAGCTTAATAGGGCATTGTGTAGCTTTGTGCATAACTACAAACAAACAAACAGTAGTATAAAAAATAATAATGCTATAATAAGACTCGTATTGATTTATCTTTCCTTGTGGAAAAGAAAAATGTATAATTAGTATTGACTTTTAATAAATAGGTTTTAATTTCATACTCCAGAAACAGGATAGGTTTTTAAATTTCATTGGTGACTTAGATTTGCCCATTTGTGTACAGCTTTATTGTGAAGTACTGAAGGCTGTAGTTATTACAAGTTCCTATAAGGTTTTCTTTTTTCCCTACCGTCATTGATATTGTTTGTGATTTATGAATTATAGGCTTGATGAAGTATGTACGTGGTACGTGTAAACATTTGTCTCAGCAGCATTTTTGCAAATAAAAGTATGAACATTTGAAGTCAAAAAACTTTTTTTCTGGCAGAAAAACCCTTAAGAGCAATAAAGTTTCCCTAACTGTCTGTTATTACATTATCAAGATAAAAAAAAATTAGGCGTAGCTTTGCTAAAATATATTTTAGTAATACATCTCTTTATTTGTGTGCTTAAACATTAATAGGACTGTTTTCTTTTCAAGTTTAAACTTACTTCTGAGCTGACTTAGAATAAAAGGAATTTTAACTGTTTATTGCTAAATTTTTTTTTTTTTAAAAGTGTGGGAATATTCCGTTAATTCAGAGCAATGTATTTTTGAAGAGACAAATAGTTCAACTGTTCTCACCAATTTTCCTGGTTGGACTTCCATTGCTTGAATACCTGTTTAATTTTTACCATTGTAACTGGATCCCACAAAAATACTGATCTGTCACTTTAAGGATTATGATAAAGATAATTTATGTTTTTATTTTAAAAAACTTGTAATAATTTTATAAATTATTTTGCATATCATTTATGTTTTATAAAAAAATATTATGCAATTATATATATCAATTTAAGTATGATGAATTACCATGTAAAACTTTTAGTACAGTCATTTGCATATAACTATCATATTGGTCCAAAATTAAGACAAGTTTGTTTGTTTTTAAAAAGATTTGAAAACTGTGATCCAAGTCAGGTTGACACGCTCAGTCAATTTCTTGTACATCATGCTATAAAATATATAAAAAGTTTTTGTGTAATTACCAACTGTTTTATGAATGCTTAGGTCTACTATACATTTTCTTTTTGTTTAAAAAAATAATAATTTCATATCTTTGGAAAGAAAGATTGCCTTTTTTGTAAGTTTTTTTTTAATTTTTGAAACATATCATGTGGTAAATATCCTATATTAATTTCATTTGGTAAAGTTATTAAATGTTTAGTTGGTAAAATGTGCATAAAAAAGAGCAAGGTATCAAACAGTCTTCACTGAACATTTGTAGTTACTCTACTCTAGCTTTGCACTAAAAATAAATAAGTAAATAAAATAAAAATCTTAAAGTCAGCCCTTATTATTCATATACTTATCAAGCT